TTTAAAGTTACGTCAGATACAATAAGCTTATTTTTAAATTATAATAAAATTTCATAAACATATGTATGTATGTATGTATTAAAATATATTAATTTTTTTAAAACTTGAAGGTTAGTCGGTATTTAGATACAACAACTATAAATTAACATAATCAAATTTTAAAATAATACGAATTGGAATATGTATTGTGTAGTAAGCTCATTAACACAATCCATATACTAATTTGATACTTATATCATAATATTTTATATTATAAATGATAGTAAAAATATTTTAATTAAAATGAATAATGGTTTCATAAAATGTACAAGTTATCCGTTTAAATTAATTACATTAAACCAGCACACTCAATGTCTATAATAATAAAAATACTGAATAATTATTGGTTTAAAAATTTAAATTAACATAGATCAGTTTAAAAATTTAAGAAATACAAAATGTATATAATAATAATTAGATGTAAATTATATGTTGAATAAAATTTGAATATTTATTTAATTTGCTTGAAAATTATAAACATACCTATGTAATAAATATTTTTTTATCTTTTAATTTTGTTAATATATCTTAAAAGAAATGTATATATATATACGAACCAGTGAAGATTACATGTTCACCATTTATCCATTTATATGTAAATTAATATGTAAATATGTTGTTTTTTATGGCCCGAGGAAAAAAAGTTTGGCCACCACTGTATTATGGTAATGTTTCATTTGATTATTACCAATAAAATCATGACTAAATAAAACTTAATATTTGTTTTGATATTGATATACATTAAAATTAATAATGATAATATAAAAATGTATATTATTTAAACTATAACTAAGTTCGGTTTATTTTTATCTTGTCGATTTAAAGCTAGGACATTGATAATTTAACTATAATAATTTTAGATGAATCAATGACCAACGTATAGGCAATAAAAGATAAAAAAAATTAATTTAATGACATTTTATAATGATCGTAGGTTGTATTAATTCAAACATTAATAGCTTATGTATCCGTTTCTGACCCCTGCACTCATTTATTAATGGTTTACAATTGGACGTATACTTTGATGAGTATGAATTGTCTTATGTATGTCTGTAGTATATAACTTACAAGAATGCCAATATATAAAAATATATAAGAATGGATAATTTATACAATATATTTTATCAATTTATAAAGTATTATAATATATAATATTATATAATATAGATATAAAATACTACCTGGTAATATGGTAAGTTTATGAAGTTAAAGCTTAAATAATAAAATTAATAATTTGAAATTTGTAATAAAGCAAGTGAAAAAGTAAAACTATACTAAAGTCTCGTTGATTTTTTAATCGGATTAAAAAATGGACTCGAAGTAATTTCTTATTTTCAGAGTTATATTTTGATCCAAATGAAAAATGAAAAATGCAATTTCAAATTTTGTTTATAAAGTATGTTATAATCCCATTTAATAAAAGTTACTAATAATAAAGAAAATAATTATTAATAATTATAACACCTATATGAAATATTCCTTTTTTCTTTTCGAATATAAAAAAAACTAATTGTGAATTATAACCTTTTTGAAAAATAAATTTATAAATACATGTATTAAAATTAAAAATAAATTACTTGAAAAACGAAAAAAAGATTTTTTATCGTTCTTAATTAATTGTAAAAATGTCAAATATAAGTTTAAGTTACTTATTAAGTTTGTAATACATAATACCATAATAAATATCATATAATCTTTTTTAAATATAATTTTGTTTCTATTTTGTTATTTTACATTATAAAGGAATCTTACCTATAGTTTATTATAAGAAATACGCATGGTTTTTAATTTTGTGTCGAATTGATTGCTTATTTATATAAATGTACCAAATAAAAATATGCTTACTTTATAAATAATAAGATTTATTACTTTATATTTATGACTTGGAAGCTCATTGTAGTAATGAATATATTGAGATATGTACCTCTAAATAACATAAATTGTTTAACTAAAAAGTTAATATTGATTTTATGAACGAATTGTATTTGATAAATAAAATAATTTTAATTAAATTTAATACAACTGGATTGTTCGTATGTTTAAATTATTTATAACAACCAACATACTTAAGATTCATAAACATTTACGTCACTAAAAATATTAATTAATATATCCAGTTTGATTCATTAACTGTTTGTAAATATATAAGATACATTTTAAACAAAACATAATTATTCGAACGGAATTTATTATATATACATAGTGCGCAGACCTGTATTTCAGGGGGTGCCTTAATACCGATTCGATGGTTTTCGAGGCCCGGTGCAGAATTTTGCGGGGCCCCATATATATATATATATTAATTTATTGATTTATTAATTGTTTATAAAAATCTACGTTTGTTCTTGTTATTATATAAGTAAATAATATTTCGTACTGTCATCAACGATAAACAATTTTACAAGTGCATGCGCGTCAATACTTCAAAGCTATGCGTAATTGGTACCGTCTTAATTTTCGTCGATAACAACCTGTTTCCTAAGAAAACCACAAGACCACACGGGTTGCGATTTGCGTACTGGGACTATATTATTTTTACTTATAGATAAAGTGATATTCGTAATACACAATTTCTGGGGCCCCAAACAAGCGCGGGTCCCGGTGCGATCACATGGCTTGCCCTCCTCTAGGGCCGGCACTGGGGTGCCTACAATATTCTTGGGTCCTATTTTAACAAATATTTTCAGTATCTGTAATAAATTATATTGTATAAATAATTAAATAAACATAACTATAATTTGTATGTAATATTGTGCTACATTAGTCCTATTGTATATATTTTTCCTCAAATTTCGTATATTTTTCTCAGGTGGCTTTAATTATTGATGATTTGTACTTTTATTGTAAATTGTAACTCTTAAATTATCATAATAAGTTATTACACGAAAATTTAGAAACTTTAGTTTTATTTTTTTCAATTAACAAACATAATTTATTTATTATCCTATATTTTAGAATAAATTTAATTTAATTTGAGCAACATCAGTTAAAATATTGGCTCCTTACTCTTAGAATTAAATTGTAGGATCCAATTTACAACATTTTGGGAGTGCTCAGACACACCCGGCACCCCTCATGTACACACCTATGCATGTATATATATATATATGTTTATCTTATCCTTTGTATTTATTATTATATTTAAATTAATTCCATTAAGATGTTCAAATTGTACTTCACTGAGATTGCACTATATATGTAGCTGACTGAAGTTGTATCTTACACCCTTCATATTGTGTGATTACATACCTATGTGTTTTGGCATTTTTTATTTTAGTCGAGTCTTTTTAAACTTGGCAATTAAACTCTCTTGTTGGCACATCAAGTTATGTGTCATATTACTAAATTTAGAACGAATGGTTAGTACGTTATTCTCGGATCATGATTGAGAATTTAGTTAAGATTAAACGTAAATAAATAATCATATTTCTCTAAGCCATTAAGTACCACTACCTACTTTTCGTGATTATTAAACTGTCTGATATTGTTATTAACAGTGCAATGAATTTTGATTGAATTTAATTATGTCGTTTCGGTAAATAATAATGAGCTAAACTATTTTTTTTTAAATTTAGATTTAGATAACTTATGTTTAAATAAAAACTTTGTAAGTACATTGATAGTAAAATCTAGGTATATATAATGTATGCACTTAACATACAACTTTTTAATTATTTAATACTCACAATAAATATTATTTGTATTTATAAGAAAATAATTGGAGTTTATCGAACTTTAATATAATAATTAAACTATTTAAAATATAATTATAATTTGTAACCTACGAAAATGCATAATTTATTCCTTAATATGACATTTTTGTAGTTTTAAAAACAAGTAATTAATTATAGATTATATACTTGAAATATTTCATAATCAATGATAACGTTTCAGTCTTATTAATAATAGTTGCTTAAATATAAATTAAGAAAATTTGTAACTATATTGTTATAGGTAACATAAGATAAATTATATTTTAAATTATTAAATCTATATAGTTTCAGTATATTCAACTGACATTAAAGTTAGCAATTTCGTAATCACTATGACGTGTTAACATATTACTTTAACCCGTAATAAATTGTTATTTAAAACTGCATTTTTTAAAATAGACGATCGTGTCTTCAAAATAATAATAAATAATAAATACATTTTAATTTGCTTGATTTACAATAACATATTCAGAATTTTATGTAGACATAAACGTTTAAAGTTAGTTTAGTACTTAACAAGTTAAAAATTTAACTCCAACATTAATTAAAATATTTTAGTAATTCTTAAATCTGAAGTTATGAAATATTTAAAAGTTCATTACATATGTAGATAAAGTTTAGAACTATTATCAAATACAATGATAAGTTATTTATATTTAATTTTATCTTTATTCTGGGATTGGTCAACTATCTGCTTAATATAGACTTTTACAAGAATTTAATTGATATATATACTAACCTAATAAATAAAAAAAACCTATTTTGTTTTTATTATTCCGTTTCACTTGTATATATAATATAATATAAATAATATATAATATATAATAATATGAAATATGTACACTGGAATACTATTATATAGAAGCCATATCTAAGACCATAAAATTGTTTGATAATTACTAACCCCAATAATTCATATTTTTTTTATGAAAAATAAATATTCTCAGATTTCCAATAAATGTTAAGTACATATATATTTAGACAATGTATAACATATAATTTATCATAATAATAGGTATATATTATTTACGTTCATTTTTATTATGTATTAAAATGTCAATAGTTATTGGATATCCAATTGGACAGTATTTGTCACGTATGTTATTAAAAAATTAAAAGTTTTAAACTCTTCAAATAGTCTAATGAATGAATACCTTGGTGTGCATCATTAGGGTCATACTCAATTTATATTGCCCGATAAGAACTATAGCGGGGCGTACACAATCTGTGTATGTTATAATAACACAGATGCCGACATCAGTATACGGTTAAACGCCTTTAATGACACACACGTGTTGATTTTTATTTTTTGTAACGGAAATAAATTGTAATTTGCTTACGAGTTTTTAGATTTTCAATTTAGTGTCTAAGTACAATATTTACATGTGATTCGTAATGGATTATCGATAATAACTGCAGGCTCTGTTCTGCTCGAATGTTTTAGAATCTCGAAATTGGATTTTCCGTCCACTTCTCAATCGTTTTTAATATTTTCTCAATATGCTAAATGAAGCATCAAACGCGAAGTACTCACCGGTGACCACGCGTGATGAACAGCGTAGTATTGCTACTGCTGCGGCCAAAAAAAAAGATATCCTTGATGATGATGGATACGCAAACAAAGTGAAGCTGTTCCTGACCTCAGCATCATCGGCTAAGAGTTCTAAAATCACTTCACCCAAGAAATATAAATGTAAGTAGTTATAATTTAGTATGAAAATTAACTAACGACAGTAATATTAAAGTAGAGTATTTAGAAATATACATGTACATGATAATGAAATGTCATAATACATATTACATTTTTTGTTGGTATTATTTTTCGTCCATTTTCACATTTTCATTTAGTAATTTGCGTATATCTACATTTTATAATACACTGAGTTTTGATGAATTACAAATTTTTAAATTGAATTAAAAAACATTATTAATCAACATAACGAAAACTAGATGATCAGTGGCGCATTTAAGGGGGGGGGCGAAAGGGTCAAATGCCCCAGTCGGCAAATTTTTGGGAGCGGCAAAATATTCTAACTTTTATTATTGATGTAGTCATGATTTTTTTAATTTTCACACCTTTTTCGTTATTGTTTAGTATTTTAAAAAATATTGTTGAGCATCTAATAAGAAATTAAAAAAAATTATACTATACCTAGTATACCTAGTACCTAGTCACGTAGGTAATATTTATATATATAAATATTTTTTTTTTTTTTGATAAAGGGGAAGGGCGGAAAAATTATTTTGCCCCGGGGCGCGTATATATTAAACGCGCCACTGCATATGATAACTTAAAAACAAGTGGCAGAAAGAGAACTAAAAATTTAGGTACATTGCTTTAGTTATACAATTTTAAACTTTCTTTTAACATTCTTAATTGTAGTGTAAACAAATTTTTAATATAAAAATTTTAAAAATATTCTGGGATATATGGATCCCTAACCTTCATATATGACCTTAAATGTAACAACCAACCGTAAGTGATATCATCGAGGATATCATTGATTGTATAATTTAATTATTTATTATATAATCGATATAAATAATAATATATTTTAAAAATAGACAATATATATAGGAACTCACACGCAGATTATGTTTTACTTTTCTCACATTAGTACAAATCAATGTTAAATTATTATTTAATTATTGTATTATGTAATTAAAATAAATGACAAATCAATGTATGAAAATAATTCTGTAGAATTTATTGGAATAAAAGTTTTAAGTAGTCCTAGCAAAAAAATGTGTCTAAAAAGTTTTTAAATATTTTGAATAGGTCATATAATTTAAAATGTTCTATAGACAATTTGAAAAAATGGTTTTCAAGAATAAGTTTACTGTAGATTTTTCAAATATATATTTGACTTTAAAACGATTATTTCGTATTGTATTAATTTATATCTAATGGCTTCAGTACTAATTAAGTGAATTCCAAGTCATAAAATATTGATTTATATAAGAAATAATAAAAACTAATATAAGATAATGTCATTAATATTAATAGTTAATAGTTATATTACTTATATACATTTTAAATTAATAATAAATCATCTTATTAGAATTACATATTTAAGTCAAGGTTAATGTAATATATAGGTAATGGATATTTTATGTAGAATAATCACACAAAATATAAACTTCACAACTTCTGTCGTTTTGTGGTATGATAAATTGTAATTCGAATAGTCAAATGAAATAAGCATAAATACGTTTTATATATGTCTGTAATAAAATTAGGTGTAAAAAATATATGAAAAGTTGTATTTATTGTTTCTCTCCTTGCTAAATAAAATCTGTACTATTAGACATAAATTAAATAAAAATAGCTTAGAGTAATGCATAGTAATGCACAATAAATCTAAAATTACTTGTTTTTATAAAACAAATATAAAGGCTTGTAAAAAAAAATAGTTTACCCCACTCGTAAGTTTTTTATAGAAAATATTTTAAAATGTTTTGTTTAAGGTCAATCAAGTCCACTTATTGATTTAGTATTCATATATCCATAATTGATGTACTATTATACTTATTTAACTATTTTTTTTATTGTTATAAATATGAAGAACTTAGTGTGTAATATGCTTGTTTTCCAAATTTATTCAACCAAATGAAAAAATAAAAATTAATAAAACAATTAGCTTAGAATTTACTAAAAATTACTTCAGATTTATAAAAGTAGTAAGCAAATCTGTACATTTATAATAACTGCAAAATAAATAAATTTGTAAATTGTAAAAAAAAATATTGAAAAACCAATATTTTTACTATCGTTAAAGGTATAATGTACCTACATATATTAGAAGAATCACTTAGCCTACGGTCATTTACTTTTGTACTTAACTTATTATTTTGCTCTACCGCCTTTACCTTAAAAGACATTAACATACAATCATTTATAAGACAATCAAATGTTTACGTGGCAATTTTACATTTTTGAAATATTAACATTTTAAAATTAGGTCTAATTTATTATTTTCTTGTCATAGGTGAAGTTCAGAATTTTTAATTTCTAATTTAAATTTCTGTAAAAAATTATTTCGAAATAAATAGCAGCTGATATATATTGAGTAATGTACCTTAAAAAAGATTTACTATTAAAAATTCTTAGAATGTAATATATATGTATTTTATTCTTAAACTATAATTTTATACGACTTATATATATATATATATATATATATATATATATATATATTTATACGACCCTATATTATACCTAGCTTAATGAATCGCAGTGTAAGTTGATACACCGGTATTCAATTAAATATGATTTAGAACTAATGTATTTAAAGTAAAACAAGGTAATTAAATATTTAGATAACTAGGATATAATTTTAGATCTAAGAAACTATTACTATTAAGAATTAATAAAATATTTTAAATTGTAACTGTAAAATACTGTAGTTCATTGGAAAACATTGTTTGGTATTTCATTCTTACTTTTATAAGCTTGAAGTATTCTATATTGATGTATTTATCAACAAATATTTTCATGCCTATTTCATTGATATTTTAGTGTACTACAGAACATTAATTTCTACAACTCTATACAGAGTTAAGCTTTATCTATGTGTTGTTGTATGTTTTTATCTTATATTTACCTGCATTGTTTTATTTGCAATTGAAAATGTTCTTTATATATATTGTATATTTTTTATATAAAATTAAATAAAAAATATGATTTAAAGCCATTACTCAAGACAATGGATGTATTATACTCTAACTAGTTTTTTGAACATTTTTGGTGACTAAGAACTATAGATCATTAAAAGTGTTATTAATATAACACTTAACACTGTTTATATATTTTGTTAAAAAATTATTTTAAGCATTTTTATTTTCGACTTTAATTTATTTTAACATTTTGTAAATAATTTCCGCACTAAATGTCTAAATTCTTGGAAAATTTTTACTTCAAAATGTTATACAATTTTTTTTCAACTTTTCTTCTCATTTTATTGATTTATTATTCCATTTTATTGTTGTAATGCTGTTTTCTCAAACCTTATTAAGCTATATTGTTTATAAAAAAATTAAAATAGTAAAAATATACAAAAGTAAAACCGTGATTAGAAATAAAAAAAAATCATAATAAATTTGTAATTCATAGAATGAAATGCATTTATTAGATTTAGAAATGTACCCACAGTTGTTTCATTATTTCAATTTATTCTTTCCAAATTGTTCTTAGATCATTATCCTATGGAGATATACCGATTCAAAATAGTGGTACAATCAGGGCTATCGTGATACGTGTAGTACCTCTAATGTTTAGAAATATTCAATCTAGTCCTAATGTTTCTATACATTAAATATTCACAAGCGTAGTTCCAGAAATTAAAAAAAGGGGGGATTAAAAGTTACTGCGTATGTCGATTTGTACGAAGTATTTTTGATGTTCAATTTTCTAAATATTTTTAGCACTTGTGTCCAATATGGTTCTACCTAATGTCTAAGGGGAGGGGGGCTTCAGCCCCCATAGCCCCCTTGTATCCACGCATGAATATTCCATATTCGAATAACTTGATTAAAAGCCATCATCAAAAACATAAAAAATTAACTTGTTACTTTTACTGTAAAGTTTTTACAGTTTATTGGATATTTAATTTTACTCGTTGAAAATTTAACAAATTTAGTTAAGTTATTAACTATTTATAATTTCAATATAATTTGCTTCATTAATATTAAGGTAAATTGTGTTATTTTTAGTTACTTCTACCATTATTTAAAGACTTCAATAATTCTACGATTCTAATAATATCACGAAAATGTCTTTGATAATAAAATTAGTAATGACAGAGTAAAAGAAATTTAGCCAAAGAGATTGAGTGGAGAAGAAAAAAGATCAAAAATTAATAATGTTTTCAATTTATTTCTTTTTTTTATAAAATACAGGGATTTAAAATATCGAATTAGCTATAATATATAAATACTCAGACTTACACAGTTATGTATTACTGCTATTCAATAATTAAATGTTAAATAAGATATTTATAGGTAAAAAAGAATTTGAAGAAGTATAAAATAAATAATTAAACAAAAATCATACTGTTTTTATGAGCATTCTTGTTTTTCTAAAAAAACTATTTTAAATGGGACACTTAACTATGCACTTAACTAATTACTTGCTCTATAATAAATGTCATAAATAGAACAATTTCTTACAAGTCTATAAATTACAATTATTACGTATAAAAATGTTATTTTTTTATAATTATTTTTCCTTTGTCTTTTAACATTAGAGTAATAAATAATGTTCTAAAGTGTGTTTTTTTTACGTTTATCTAAGTGCCAGGTAACTCGTCGTGAATGTTAATAATTAGACTACAATGTATTAATCATTTATAATAAATATAATAATAATAATAATACATAAAATATAAAATATATATAAAATTTATATATTTAATAATATTTAATAATAATATTAATATTAATATTTATATATTATATATATAATATATAAAATATATATATATATATATATATATTTAATAGTTAATGTACTACACACATATAAAAATAAGTTTAAAAATTATCAAAGCACTTATTTAATTCAAACCTTTAGCATTGAAGAAACTTTACAAGCGGGTCTTTGAGTTCTATCACATTATATTACTTCATCATACATTTTCATGGACACACTTGAAAAATTGTTACCTAAATCACATTTATCCATTTGTACTTGAA